GTGTTAAATTAACAGTCATTCTCTAGATACCTGTCGAAAAAACGACACTTTTAGTACTCTAAGTATTATTTTAGCATTTTTTCGCGGAGCTCTGTGGCATCTTGACTTTGTAACGGTCCGCACATGACTGAACTAAAAAGTGCTTGCGTGGAGTTCAAGCACTTCTTGATTGGGACACATTTTGAGCGCTCGTGGTGTATCTAGGGTATTTAATATCGTTGGATATATGACTTCAATCTATTGTACGTTTCTAGAGCGAGAAAATAGCTTCCTCGCCGGCGGTGGGGCAACTGCTTTACTTTGGTCGTTATCGCAAGAACTAATAAAAATAAAGGTTTTGTTATAGTTCATACTCCATTCATGTTTTGTTATAGTTTTAAATATTGTACTGTGATACGGAAAACGCACCCTTCGTTTGCGATTTCGACTCGCATTTGGCTGTTTTTTTTCTAACTGCTAATTATACCGAATGTAAAATTTTTGGTTATGGTAACTCAACGAGTTGTATTAGATCACAGTCTACTAAGTAATGATCTGTCATTATCACTACGAAATTGTTGCTAGTTTATGTAATGAAAAACTATGTATTGTCACTGAAACTTAGAACAAGCTGCTAATTTTAATAGAAACCAAAACAGCGCTACCTACCCATTCGTATGGTTGGACCTTTGGGCTTATAATTTATATTATATATATAAAATAATAGATTTAAATAAGAAAACGAAAGCCAATGCCCTCTATCTGTCAAATGTCGCTTGAAAAGTACAATTTGCAAAAAAAAAAACTTGGAACCCTTTTTTAACACTCCGCTAATTCAAGAATAAAAACCAAATATTTGTAAACAAACAATGAATGGTTGATAACATAAATCGTCAACCAAATGTCACTTTAAGTTGCGTTCAGAAACTCGATTATAAACTTTCTTTTACATAAAGGATACATGTTCGTATGTGACCTAGTAAAAGTGCATGATTATTCATAACTACTCAGGCAGTAATGCAGAGATGAGCGGAATAGAAGAGCTAGATTCTGATTAATGTTTTTTCTCACAGTATTAATAAATAAATATTATTAAACATCGGTGTTTTCTTTTCTCAATCTTAGTAAATAAATTTTATTAAAAAAATCTGATGCTTTTTCTCACTTAATCTTAGTAAATAAGTTTTATTGAATAAATGACATCAAAATATGGCGCCCAGTCGGTCCTATTCTTAGTTAAATCGCATTATACGTGGTTTTCATTCGCGAGAAAATATGTTGCAGACAAGAGTAGACAAAATATGACGTCGGTCGCCATAAAAGATAGTTTGTTAATGCAAAGTGAAGATCAAAGCTGCCGACAAACTGCAGTCTCAACTTGACACAAAATAAAGAAATACAGATAAAAATAGACATCATTTTACATGTATCTCAGCTCAGCTATTCTCGTGGGATCACAATTGATTTTAGGATCGATAATCGCATACTAGCTAACTAGATCGATAATAGCTCTATAGAAACTATAGAGCTGTGTTGTCGATGTCGACTTAATAGTGCAACACGAAATGGATATTAAAATTAATTTAATTAAGGGTCAATAATCACGTACGATACTATAAATAAATAATACATAAATATTTCCAACACTCACAACAATTAGCCTAGCCCCAAAGTAAGCACTATAAGGCTTGTGTTATGGGATAACTAGGTTAACGGATAGAATGCATATATTGTACATATATAAGTATAATTATATAGAAATACATATTATATAAACATCCATGACTAGAGTACAAATGCTCGTGTGTTCATCACACAAACATTTGCCCCCGCCGGGATTAGAACCCGGGACCTCTCGAGTCGGCGACACCATGAAACCCGGCGAACAAACCACTCGGCCACGGAGATCTTCAAAATAGAGCGTCTATAGAGCTAGGCTTTTGTGTAAATAGTGCATCACGAAATAGATATTAAAATTCATTTTAGCTCATAAGAAGTTAAGGTGACTTTGAATAGAAGAATCAAACTAGAAATTGAGTACTTTCAGATTTGCTTATATACAAAAATGTACTTGTAACAGAGTAGTCTCCACTACTACACGAACACATTTTTTCCTAGTGTTGTGAATGAGAAATATAGCTTTTTAGTTTTTTGTGTTCACAAACAACAAGAGCTCTAATTTTATATAGTGACCGAACGAAACATGAAGTTCTCTTATGTAATGCAGCATATTTCAATATAGCCAGTGTGCCAACTAAACACCAATCACTTCGTCCCATTGCCAATTATTATTCAACTTCTGTTACATCTTATGGTATTTATTAATATGTTACTTTCTGACAAATAGACACCTAAATTCACAAATGTCGTCACGCGCCATACAATTTGCAACAAAATTTAAAAATAAAATGTTAGTAAGAACATAAAAAATTATGCTAGCGTAATTCTCTTGGCTATCATAACAACAAGACGCAATTTTTCTTCGGAACTTGATACGAATAAACAAAATTGATATTACTAAAGTTAAAGTCTCTGTTCTAAGATCACCAGTGATTGCGTAAGGAATTTCGTTATGTGTTATCAAAAAAGAAAAAATCCAGCCATGTGCGAGTCGGACTCGCGTACGAAGGGTTCAGTACCATTATCTGTACAACATTAGAGACTACATATATTATATTATCGAGCAAAAAACAGCGAAAAATCACGTTTGTTGTCAATATTTATTTTATTTTAATTTAATTATTTATTTTTTCAAGTGAATATACAATTTTATATTTTGTAAATATTTCAAGCGTCTACCTGTTGAGGTAATTAATATAGAGCAAATAAATAACGTTTGCTGTCTGAGAGCCGACTTGAATTCTTTTTTCTGTTTTTAGTATTTATTGTTATAACAGCAACAGAAATATTAACGAAACATAAGGTACATAAACATGATATAAACCCATAATATTAATGTTTACTACATAGCTATTTAATATTTAAATGTTACTATTAATTTCTAAATAATTTATTTAGACAACGCATCGTCGATAAATAAATGAAATCAGTGCATATATACCGTTGAAACTTGTTTTATTTAAATAATATTAATATGAAATGTGATTTAATTTGGTATAATATATTTAATTGTAATAATGTCTACGTCTGTGAATTTGCCGTGTCCTTACTCTTCGGCTCTTATTTGTGACCTAGCCATACTTGCTGCACCTATGTATACAACAAGATGCAATAAATGAATATGAGTTACATCATCTATAAAAACTTTAACTTTCTAGCTATCATGTGTATCGTGAGATACAGCCTGGTGACCGTCAGTCGGACTCCCGTTTTTACTCTTTGCATACGGAACCCTAAAAATTAACATCCGGACTATTAACTGTAATTTAACTAGGTAATTTGTACTTTTGGCTTTGTTATCTTTCGTAAAATTACACTCGGCATCAAACAAATCGCACCTCCGCGAAAATAACTTTCAAGCGTTATTATATCCCTTAACACAAGCATTTACCCCGACCTTACTGTTTTATTGGAACAGTGCAAAAAACAATAAAGTTACAAAACAATAAAAATTCCCTTAATCTATACTTATAATAAATCTGTAGAGAGGTCAATTCTGTACATGAAATATATTTTCAAAATAACTATCAGGGGGTGATTAGTGATCGATACTGATGCCAAAAATGCAATCAGTAAAAATTTTGTCTGTCTGTCTGTGTGTATGTTCCTTATAGAAAGAAAAACTACTCGACGGATTTTAACGAAACTTGGTACAATTATTCTTCATACTCCTGGGCAGGTTATAGTATACTTTTCATCACCCTACAATCAATAGGAGCAGAGTAGTGAAGGGAAATGTTGGGAAAACGGGAGAAGTTACTCCATTTTTTCAGCTTCCGTCGCGTGTGCAGCCTTAATGGTTAAAGTTACATAGAAATTATGTATGACGGAAATATTCTACATAAAATTGTCTAAAAAATATCCCGCAACAACATATGTCTATCTTTTATGGTTGACTCACAATAACACGTGTAACTCCTGATAGCTTAGCAGTTCGGAGCATTCCGATTATATAACGTAAATATGAGAATTTTAGTTTGATTATAAATACAGGTAATAAAAATGACCGTTTTTATCTATATATGTATATAAAAATCAAAGGGGACTGACTGGCATAGTGATCTATCAACGCACAGCCCAAACCACTGGACGGATCGGGCTGAAATTTGGCATGCAGGTAGATGTTATGACGTAGGCATCCTCTAAGAAAGGATTTTGATCAATTCTACCCCCAAGGGGATAAAATAGGAAATGAAAGTTTGTATGAAACTTTGTCAATTTTAAACCAATCGGGCTGAGACTATGCATGCAGGTATAAGAAGAATCATAGATGAATGTCATTGTGTTTAATACAAGCCTGAGAAAAAAAACTATAGCGTACACTTCAGCTCTACACCGAAGCGAAGCGAGGGCGGGCCGCTAGTAGGTAATAAAACAGTTTAATTTAACAAAAAAAATACGGTTTTAACTTTAAGATCATCGAATCCCGGTGGGGGCAGATGTTTGTGTGATGAATACAAGCATTTGTACTCTAGTCATGGATGTTTAATATGTTTTTCTATATAAATATACTGATATATGTACAGTATATGTATTCTATCCGTTACCCTAGCATCCCATAACACAAGCCTTACAGCGCTTACTTTGGGGCTGGGCTAATTGTTGTGAGTGTTGGAAATATTTACTTATTATTATTATTATCTATCGCCTGATTTTCCTATAAAGGAAATTTAGTTTATGTTAGCAAAAATAATAAAACTTTAAACTTATAAAATGCCTTAGGATCGAGTCGACCCTTTTATTGCTGCAGTCAATGTTTACCAAGTTATGGTGCATTTTATATGCTAACTGGTGCCTGAAGCTTGTAGGTATTTGCCATTATGTATCCACTACTCAGCAGCCGTTCTCACACCCATCGCAATAGATATTTCACATTAAAAAAATACAGGCTCAAAACATACCTGAGGATCCTCGTCTTGTACTAAACTCCGCCTCTTCATCGCGTACTCTTTGACGACATGGCTATTGTCGCTGTTGGTGTCGACGTTAAACGTCTTCAGTCTTAACATAGGGCTGATCGGTCCCAGCGGCATGCTGTACTTGTTGTACGTCAAGTACTTGTTGGCCGATTGGTTCAGCGAGTGATTGGGCGACGGGTTGTTGGAAGACACTTCGATGATGCTTTGTATGCTGGGCCTTTGCGGTCGTTTCTTCGGTCTGACGTATGTGCGAGAGTCGAATGTGTGCTTGTCCGGTAGAGCGACATCGTCTGCAAATAAATTTTGATTAGTGAGGACAATCATCATCATCAGCCTATAAATGTCCCCACTGCGGGGGCACAGTGCTTCCCTATGGATGGTATAGGGAGATTGGGTCATGACCCACCACGCGGGCCCTGTGCGGACTGGTGGGCTAACGACTGCAGATTCAGCCGGGACCAACGGCTCAACGTGCCTTCCGAAGCACAGAGGAGCTCGAGATAGTATATTTTTGGTCTCCCCATCACCAGTTGCTTGTCAATGATCGCAGCCGAACGCGCTAACCATTTGCGCCATCGAGCTCGTCACACTGTGAAGACAATCACATAATGAAAATATCTAAAGATAAAGGTCTGCGTAGTATAATAGACGCTGGTTCGTTTCCAGCCCGAATCCTAGGCCGAGTTGATTTGTGTCTAGTATAAAGTAGCAAATACAATCTTTAAAAATAATTAATTGCAAAGGTAATAGCAAGCTTATAATAGACGTCAATTATATATCGAATGGTTTCTAAGTCAAATGTTATCTTTTTGAATTTTGATCGCAAATATGATTGACTACTTATGTTATATTATCCCAAACATCCTATCCCCACAATAAAATATAAATTTGTTACTTAATTGACTGTTAATTCATTACCAAACTGCATTGTGTTACAAATAATGCCTCGTCTCCAGGGAAAGATAATGAATGTCATAATAGTACAGCCTTTTTTACAAATCTATTCCACAGAATTAGTAAACTTACTAAAACTGCAATTCGTTACATCTCAGCGCCAATTTTAACGACATAGACGAGGCAGATAACTGGTCTGGTGGAGTCAACGAACCCGTTTATAGGAATGACATAAAAATATAAACTCGATACTGAGTGTTCCGCTACGACTATTAACATAAGATGCACTTTAGCCTGTTTTGTTTAAAAAAATGACAAGACTTTAAAACGTTAGCAACATAGACTTGATGATAAGCTGACTCTTTTCTTTAAAAAAACTCCTGTAACGTCTCGTCTGATAGTAAATGGTGTCAATGTGACACAGGCTAATCTCTTACCCAAATTATAAATGAAAGGGATCGCGCTAGGAGAAATGTTACACATTTAGGCCCCTACCTAGGCTAGCCACATAACCTTCCAGTGGATTTAAAAACACCAGTCATAGAAATAGCAGAAGCCCAATATAAAAGATTTTCTGTAGTGGTATGTAGGTACACCGGTTTTCAACGTCTCGCCCGGATTCGAATTGTAGGGGGTACAAGCATTTTGTACTTGAGTCATAGTTTTTCTACAAAAAAATACTCTTTTGTATGTATTTTATATGGCTTTTTTGGGGAATCGGTGGATGTTCCCCTAGATGCTATCCTTAGGACTGTTATCTATTAAGTCCCTACTATATTTCTATTTCAATTTATATAGCTGCAGATCTTTTGGTGATGGAATGATTGATACATTATATTAATGGAATGCATAGTAATGGATTGCGTACAGGAAACTCGAGTGCCAGCAGCGAGTGATACATGACACGCCATGCGTAATTATTTATAAGTTACACAAATGGGAGAGTACGTGAGACCTATAATCCTATATCCTCATTCAGAGTGGTTTAAAGTAATGCTAATGTTTTATTTCAATAATTTTAATGTTCTTTATTCGAATAGAAATATACAAATAACAAAGTGCCAGCATAAGAATATATTTTCGAAAGGTCTTTCAATCTGATTGAAACAAGAGATCTTGAGATTAAAAATAAAAAGAAAGTCGTATTGGTGATATGTATGTAGTCATGCATGGTATGGCCATATCATATATCTTAATCACAGCCTAGCTACTTGGAAGTGAAATCGATTTGATGAATGTGAATCTTCAATACAAGTCGAAATAAGACTTTCTGGAAATATTGTATTGTGTAATAATACTCAGCTAAGATTTATCGTCTAACGATTATAATTATTTATTGAAAAGATCTTCACATTCTTATTTTTAGTCGCTCTCTAGAACTATCGAATACGATACAAATAATGAATTGGAAATGTAAAAAATCGTAAGTAAGTAAGAGTTTAATTTCGACGCCACTTGTTTTAACGCAAGATCAACATAAAAAATCCGTTAAAGCAAGCATCCGTATAAAAAAAACAATTCAATCTGTAAATTAATATATTTCCTACCCTGATAAAATAGGTCAAAATGTATGTCTACTACAATGACCCTTGACGATTTTGGTCGATAGTTCTTTAGAAAAGTTTTTAAGTGGAATATACGGCGAAAGTCAGCAAATCAACAAAAATGTGAATCTCGGAAAACACGCTAATATACTCCAGGCTGAGGTATATGTCATCATTGCGCGGACAGTCGGCAACGGTTGCCGCGACCACACCCGCACTCCCGGCGTGCATTGGAGGGACTGTGGTCCTCGGAATATACGGCGGGTGACCGGTGCAGGAGTATTGTCTGGTTTTTAGTGGCCCTGTTCAGGGCGTTAGGTAGGGCCCTGCTCATTTCACCCGGCCTAAGAGCTGGCTGAAATGAGCAGAGAGGAGTCACACATACCTTCCTCTCGCTCCCCCGGTGGTTGAAGGATGTATAAGGCATTTCCCAGATTAATAGTCGGCACTTATACCGAAACAACCGTACACAACAAACACAATCATCATTATCATCATCAGCCTATTAATATCTCCACTGCTGGGGCACAGGCCTTCCCTAAGGATGGAATAGGGAGATTGGGCCATGACCCACCACGCGGGCCCAGCGCGGATTGGTGGGTGCCAACGACTGCAGATGCAGCCGGGACCAACAGGTTAACGTGCCTTCCGAACCGCACCGCACGGAGGAGCTCGAGATAGTAAATTTTTGGTCACCCATCCAATGACCGACCACTGCAAAAGTTGCTTAACTTCAACGATCGCAGCCGAACGCGCTAACCACCTGCGCCATCGAGCTCCTCACAAACAGCTCTAAAAACGAAACAGTAATGAGTTATTTGAAACAGCTACATTTTGCCCTCTGGCTACAATAAAAAGGTATATGCCATCATAGAATGTGCAAAAGCCAATCGTCAACGAAACTACACAAACCAGACAATATATACATTATATACACAGTAAATTATGAGTTACCCGAGAAAATTAAAGATCATTTACATAAACTTAGTACGAACAATTATAAACATTAAACGTACTAAACCCCCATACAAAAACATTGATTTTTATCGTTTACTAAATATCCTAAAGCGGCGCAAAGGAGATTGCTCAAATTGGCCTAAATGCACAAAAAATATTGACATGCACGGTAATTCTTGGCGTAATTTATAATTTAATTCACAGTCATTAGATTTCTACGGACACTTTTGTATAATATATTTACTTTAAAAAAGACTTTTAATTTTACCGGTTTGGAAAACATACGAATCATTTTTAAGGGCTATGGGTGTAGTGACATTCAGCCAAAGACTGATCGAAGTTGTTTATATAACATAAAAACAAATCTATTTTGTAAAGATCGAAAAAATAAATCATTTTTTTTATAACACCGTGGTATTAATATCCACAACTATATTATCATTTTCACTAGATGCAAATGTGCTCAGACAATTATTATAGATGGTAGGCGACATCATAAAGTCTATTGCCATACATTTTTCGCCAAACACCTCCATAAACACATTATAATCTGTATATATGTTAGACTTTAAGGTATCTATCTATGGGCCTACGTTCCCTGACTATAAATAAATAAAATTATAAGGTGTGATACACTAAAAATCTAAAATATGGTTATCTTAAAAACATAACAAAAATAATGAAGCTACTGAAATATGGCTATAGAACCTAAATATCTTAGCTTTCTTTGGTTAGCGAGAGTTTAAAAATTCTCTCTAATCTATGGCTCATTCACAATCATCACACAGTTTCTGTCACATAGTACCTTATTATAACCGGAAATGACACCTGATTTTAAAAGTTACTCTTATGCATTAACTTTAAAAACAGGCAACTATCTATTAATCTACATGCTCTATATACCTGAATCTAATCCATAATTTCGGTACTTGGCTTGAATTCCCTAGTTTACTATATTACTTATTTGTTTTCTATTATTTTAATATGTTCAGTGTACATGGTTTATAGAAGTTCTCAGGGGTGTCCGTCAATAATATTCGCTTCTACAGTAATTTATATATAATTTCGAATCTAGGAAACAATTTTTCATGATTATTGGTCTTTAGGCCAAACATGTATGGAAGCTGAGCAATCTCCTTTGTAAATAACATAGGTACCTATTATGCAATAATTATCCGTTTAAATTACGCAGATCCTGAAAGTAGTTCCATTTCAATAAATTTATAACAACTAAAATTGTTTAAGATTCATAATTGCAGATATAGTAGATTAAAGTAGAGAATTTTTTCGAAAACGAATTTTTTTTTGCTGTAATATAATCTATACCGCTGTCTGAATTAGCTATTAAAGTTTCTCAAACAACTCAAAATTTAGGATGTATATTTCAGATAGCCATGCAGCGGCAACACCATTAACTCGAACACGACATACTCGAAATCGGTGAAAGACAAACTGAATAACCTTGGTCAAAAGAATAAAGTTATTCTCAAGTCAAGTCATTTAGGGATAATCGGCAATGAGAAAGCTGATGAACTAGCAAGAGCAGGAGGCACAGGAGCAACACCAGACAGATGGGACCAAAACCTTTCTATGGCATCCCTAGAAACCATGGATGCATATTCTTAAGGACGACTTTCTAGGCAACATGGAATACTGGTTAAACCAACCAGGATTAGAGTACGGTAAATCACTAATAGAAGGTTTCTCGAAAAAATGGGATTACTGAGTTAATAGAACTTAGCAGGCGGAACACCCGTGTAAGAGCCTTAACTGAAAACAGCAAACTCAACAGACACCAATTTCATATGAAAGTAAGCAACATTAATGTTTGAAGATACTGCAATCAGGAGCGTAAAACACCAAAACACCTATGTGAACGTGGGTCTCTTATTCAC